CGTACCTCTATCTCCTTTTTCGCTACGTGTCGGTCCTTTTCCGCTTTTTTTTCGCTCCAAAAGGCCGGAAAAAGTCCAAAAAAACAGTGTGTCGGGTTTTGGCTGTTTTCCCTGCTATGCGGTGTGGTGGGTGGGAGTGGGGAACGTTCCCGCTCCGATACCAGTGTGGCAGATCCACCACGTGTGGTGCTCCGCCTGGGATAGAGATGGAGATGGAGGATTAGGGTGGAGCAAGATGGCACAGTGTAGCTCCCACGCGAGACTCCAACGCACGTACTCCAAACTGTGCGAATGTAGAATGACCTGAAAAACAGACAACAGCTGGGGTATACATCAGCGGACTGACTGGACCGGACTGGACTGGCTGGTACCGACAGAGGTACCGGCCTGGACTGGACTACCCCGAATACAACACAAGCCTGTGAGAACAGGCCAAGGGGCTGGTCTCACAGACCAACCAGAGGTCCGCTACAACCAAACTCCTGTCTCCCTTGGTCATTCTATCCCAAAAGCAATGGTTCCACTCTGAACCTATCTGCATCACGCAGTAGGATGGCCATCGTCTTTCCTTTAGTCGTGTGGCTATGAACTCTCATCTCTACCATATGTCTGGTGCTGCTTAACTGTTCATCTTCATTGACCAGGGTGAGGTTGTCTGAGATAGCAGCTCCGGACCGTCTGGTCCATAGCTGAACTCTGAGCCCAACCTTCGCATTCTTTGCAAAGAAAAAGAAAAAGAACAAAACCAAAATAAAAACACAACTCCGAAATAATGTAAATCCATCATGGTTTTGCTGCCATCCTATTTTCCTGCAACAACCCTCGGGCCATTTCCCCCCACTCGTCTCACAGATATTTTGTGCGGACTACTTGGTGTGCTAGTGGAACCGTGCCCCGGGGCCTCGGCCCACATGCCAGCGAATAGTATAGTTTACTAGTCCGTGTGACGGTGTGGGACTGTTAGGAAGTGTCTATTGTATTTTCAACGGACAGTGGGATTATGCATCCCGCCATTTAGGGCAGGGAGCCGTAACGCTCCGTTTTATCATTGGTTTTTAGTTGCTTTAGGGGTCCCCTGTGGAATGGAGCGAGAGGCAAAACGGAGTAGTATACTAACCTCTTCCTTTTGGCGTAGAATACTATTCTTTTCTTGCCGCCTCACTCCGCTGTTCTGTGGACATGCACAAAGGACAAATATCATGGTAAGTCTCATGGTCTAGCTGCACTACTCTCCAAATGTGCAAAATGAGACTGAATCCACTGCCAGAACATGGAAAGATACATTGGCATTTTTATTTTTAATTTTAAAGGTAAGCTATATTCCTCTCTCATCTATCTCAGTTTTTTTTTTTTTTTTTTAATATCTCAGTTTTCTTGGTAGTACGCATCTATCTCATCCTCGCACTATTGGCATTTTTTTGTCTTTTGCACATGTGGAGAGCACTGCAGCCAGGCCCCAAGGGT